GGAATTCATAATAAAAACAAAACCCATAAGATTTGTACCTTGCAAAATAATCCCATTTGTCAACGTCAATGCCGTTTTTTTTGTTAGCTACTATCTCATACAGGAAACTTTTCTCCTTTTGTCGACCACGGTAGGGCCACTAATGACAGGGGAGCCGAGAAGAAAAAAAAAAATCAGAAACAATAAGAAATTAAAGTGTGCAAACAACATTAGAACAGTTTTTTAAAGACGGTGGGAATACGCTCGGATTTTGCCTGTGACGAACACCCACCACTGCAGGAGCACAGAACACAAAGACAATAAAGAGCTCTCAGAAGCTGCCGGGCTGTAGAGATCCAGAACTAAGGCTGAAGCAGCTGACTTCCCAGAACATCAGGAAGAATAAAAACCATGTACAGAAGTATTTCATTTCCCATTCTACTAAAGCAAAGTCTGCAGTTTTGAAATGTCAAAAAAAAAATTCATAGCAACAAAGACGGGAAAAGGTTGGAATCATTTAATCCTCAGGGAATTGGTTAAACCCACAAACATGTCACTGTCTTGCAGTCTTCTGCAATCAACTACGTACAACTTTATAGAACAGAGTTTTAAAACAATTACTTAAATGCTTTAAACAAAAATTGTTTAAACAGCGAGCTACTTAAACTCCTAAGCCACAAGGGATAATTCACTCATGAGGCAAACAGGAAATCAAGACTAAAATAAGATACAAGTTGCACATAAACATTATTTCCTTAAAATAAATCCAGCTAAACAAAAAACACCACAAAGTAGCCTTGAAGTTGAAGTGAAGGCAGAAAACACCGAACACAGATAACTGGCCCTCTTGGTATCTGCATTACAGAAATATGCAAACTGGTACAGATGAGAATGGAAACGTGTGGCAGCAGTGGGAAGAGGGCACACCACAGATGAATTTTCACAGAGTACGACCACCGCAGCACAAATGACTGCCAGCAGAAGATGCTGCAGCCCAACACCAGGAGGGGGGCAAGAAGGTTGCCACCTGTCATGTGTGACACTCCCTTCTCTGTTATCCTGCTGGAAAACAGACACCGAATCCAAGGGAGCTAAACCAGACATCAGGGAAGAACCTGGCTCAAGATCAATGGACGTGGCAGGCAGCAAGACCTGCGTGCCAATGAGGGTGAGTGGGTAAAAATCAACTTGCAGATGTTGTAAATGAATATCCCCTTCCTACAAGATCTCAGACTGAATTTTTTTACGCTAAGTTGCCTATGTTTGCCATCAGAGTGCTGGAGTACACATGGTAGAACCACACACTACAACACCAGAAAATAATGGGTAAGTGTTAACATTTGTGGGTGGTTTGTCTGGGACAATATACAAATTCTGATTAGGACCAGATCGTCATGACAGATCTCCCACTGACAGGTTCGTAATTCTGGCTGCAACTGAACGGGTGTCCTTGAAGAGATGACAAGAGCTATAAAGTGAGGAGAGAGGACTTAATTCTGTGAAAACAGAGCTGCAAGGATTAATAATCACAGTCTCTTCTTCCTCGCCTCTTGGGGCAACACATTCCTTCAAGTCTCACCCAGGCTCTGTGTTTGCTGCTGCAAGAAACCCAAGCGCTTGCTCCTGTCACCAAAGCTGATGCAGCTCTGGCACTGTGGCCATGCTCTGCATTGCTCCTTGCCTCATCTCTGCCACTTCTCAGTTTTGTTCTCCATTTTCAGCTTGCTACCCCAAACTATCTCCATGTTTTCTTCACACGGCCAGCTGACAACACGACCTCCTACCACCGCCTTCAGGCACCCAGTACCCAGGCTGTTACCTAACCCGGTCACTTCAGGTTTCCATGAAAAATTCAGTTCTACCAATCCAGTTACAGTGAATTAGGTCCACTAAATACAAATAACGTTCTTAAGCGTTCCTCTAATCTGCAGCCTTCGCGGTCAGAAACTTCTCGGGAAGATGGAAGCCCGTAACAGAGCGAAGCTACGGCCCCCGCCAGCACGGTAAGGAGCAAACATCCAGCATCTCTCGTGCCAGGATTCTCAGAATTTCATGGGGCTAAAAATAAATAATAAAATACACTAGAAGCAAAAATCGTCTACTCTCTCAGTAAAATTAAAGACATTTATTGGGATAAGCACTGGAGCAGTACCCCGACTCACCGATCTCCCACAAGCGGCTTCATCTATGGGCCCTGCTATTTGCTCCTTGATGAAGATCATATCTTCTTCCAGGACAAGACCATACGACTTCATGACTTCTTCTAGGTTATTGGAAGCGATCAAGTGCTCAAACATTTTAACAGAAGCAGTTTCATGCTGTGAAGAAAAACACCTAAATGTCGCGTGACAAAGTTTAAGCTTTTTTCCTGCCGCGTCGCAGCTCCCTCCCAACCCGGCAGGGCACGGCGGTGTGGAAAAGCACTGGGGTGATTTTCTGTTCATGTTGTCTCTAAACAAACAGCAGATCACCCCATCTACGGAGGCCAGAAACACACTCTTCAGCAGCGAGCTGTTCATTTTGTATTTTAACAAACAGCAGTCAGAGAGTCACTGTGCTAAGAGACGAAATAACCGATCGTGCCGTGCAGATGGACAAACTCACTCGGCCGAGTTTGCTCAGCGACGACAAGCAGAGAGAGCCCTGAAAGGACTGTGTCACATTCCATTCACAGCAAAGCACCCCTGAAACTCTGTTCAAAGTTTCTGAAAGTTTGAATTCTAAACACTGCATTAAGTATCCCGGCCTTGAACTAAAGTCTTAAACTGGAAAAGCAGCTCCCCGTTGGTATTGTGCATCTGGAAATTACACTGCAGCCTTCCAGTTCTTAAAGGGGGCCCACAGGAAAGCTGGAGAGGGACTTTTTACAAGGGCGTGTGGTGATAGGACAAGGGGAAATGGCTTTAAACTGAAAGAGGGGAGATTTAGATTGGATCTAAGGAAGAAATTTTTCACTCTGAGGGTGGTGAGGCACTGGGACAGGCTGCCCAGAGAAGCTGTGGCTGCCCCATCCCTGGCAGTGTTCCAGGCCAGGTTGGATGAGGCTTTGGGCAACCTGGTGTAGTGGAGGGTGTCTCTGCCCATGGCAGGGGGGCTGGAACTGGATGGTCTTTAAGGTCTCTTCCAACCCAAACCATTCCATGATTCTGAAGAAAGTTCACAACATGCATTTTAAGGCACAACGCTGGCTTAAAACGACCACTGCACTTCTAGCGAGTTCTGCTTCTTCAGAGTCACCCTACAGGCACTGAAAAGGCCGAGACCTTTCATTTCTCCTGTGTCACCCAGCGTGACACCCGTAGGAAGAGGACACGCGCACACAAACAGATCTCAGGAACAGGAGTTCAAGAGCGTTTGCACTTTCAGGGAAGAGATGCTGGTGACAAACATCTGCCCTTGCTTACTCCTCCCCACACCTCCCTCTGCCTGGTGAGTAAGGCAGCAGCTGCCCATGGTCACGCTGATGGAGCTGACGTTCCCCAAACAAACAGTTACAGAGAACAACAAGGAAATCATCACACGATCAGAAGACAGCATTCTGGTTTTCAATTATGTCATCAAAACAATGCAATAAGGAAAAACTAGATGATCACTACATTCTCGCAAGCACTGGAGTCTTTAAAGATGAATTATTCTCCCTTTAAAAATTTTGGTTTTCTGGTTTTACTTCAACAATGAAAAGCCTACCTTCCACTTCGAGTCTGGACGAATCTGTGGAATAAATCTTCCATCAAACATGTGCGAAAATGGCCCATGACCTTAAAAATAAAGATCACACAGGTTTAATCTGAGATGTGGTTGTCAGTAAAACTATTTTGAGCAAGTTAAGGATCTGGATTCTCTTGTATTTGGCTTGATCTTGACATCATCTATGAGGAAGATTCAGCTATAGTGAGTACACTTTCCTAAGACACCTTAAGTACTACTGCACTCAGCATAGCCTGTTCCATTAGCTACACCACTGGCAAGTACTGCAGCAACACTAAGAACATTAAACTACTCTGTGCCAGCTCTGAAGAAAATAAGTAGTTATAAAATGACGATAACGATTTTTGGAAGAGCCACTAATTTTCACTCTGAAATGTTCTGAGACACATGAGGACATCACATTCCTGTCTCGGAATATGGCCACACACTGAAGCAGCCCCAAACAGCTCTCACGTTCTGATCTCGCAGCCAGCTTTTCATCCGCGTTGACTTTCAAAGAGCAACAAGCCATCTCGAGTGTTGCTTACCTAAATCATGACAAAGCCCAGCAATTTCTACACAGAGGATATCTCGCTGGGTTATGTCCAGTTCTGGTTGTCTCTCCATCAGTGCACGAACCAGACATCCTGCAAGGTAGCCCACCCTGTCGCAGGAAAAAAAAAAAAAAAGTGTTTTAGGCTGAACAGAGAAAAAGCAGTTCACCTGTTCTGTTTCGCTCCATTAAGTCACAGCACACAACGAACACTCAAACCCTGACCTGCAAGAGAATCACAGACAAACTATTTCCTGTGGTAGAGTTTTAGTCATCAGAAAGCAAAAAAGCAGGAGACACCATGCCCACGGGGACAGCAGCACCCCGCAGCACTTCTCGGTGCCCAAGGGGAGGGCAGCGCGTCACCGCGTGCACCTCGGAGCGCCACGGCGTGCACGGCACCCTTTGCCTTCCAGTCCGTGCAACTGCAAAGGTTCACAGCTCACGAGAGCATTCTGTTGTTCTTCCAAATTGCTATTTTAACAACAGCTTATGACAATTACTTCTCTTCCTTTCATTCGTTTTAGATCTGATGTTTAATTTCACTGAAGGGGACTCTCTGTTCTCATGCTCGTTCCTGCTGGGTTTGTATCCTACAGCACACGCTCCTATAAACTGTTTACAAGCTCGACACCAACCTTCTTTGCCACTTGCCTCAACAGTTCCCCTTGCAGAACATCTTAAAGCCAGACAAGGTTTTGTATGACGAGGTATTATCTTTCATTAGACCAGATTTTACAGTTTGGTGGATTTTACTAGACCAATAAGCACACAAATCACTTCTTCTATTTTAACAGTGTAGAAATCTTCAAAATGATATACAAGTTGAGAACAACTGTCCTAAGTTTAACTACATAAATTAATGGAACTGTTTAAAAGAAAAGGTTGTTGATATCACTGGAGTTTCCAGACTGCTGTTGTGAAAGCTTTGTTTGTATACATATTTTTGTCCTTCCAGGTTTGCCAGATGCAATCGATTCCAGCTTGCCTCCCTGATCTGACCCTTTTGCAGTAGCTGTTTGCATCTTGTTACTGACACAGAGCAGGGGCAGAAGCCAGACTTACTCCAAAATATTTCAGCACTAACAAAAGCAACTTTAGGCTGGCCAGATCACCTGAAAAACAATTCACTAGTTTAATATCTCTGTATCTTGGGATATACCTTTAAAACAAGCTTAAATGTGTAATTATTCAGCTTCTCTGTGGAGTATGAATGACTTTGCAACACTCTGGAAATCCTCGTGTCCATCATCTGTTTCTCTTTAACTTTTATTACAGCTAACAGCCTGATAATCTGCCATCGATCGCATAAAGCACACAACTACAAATGCAAACATAACAGATAAAACAGGTTTTAGCTGTGCTGGGCAATATAAGGGGATTACAACTGCCTGGCAAGTCAGTTATAGCAGCCCCTGTAACCTTCCCAGATTTATGCTTTAAAACTCAGATTTTGACGAGGTAGAAAGCAAAGCACTCACAGTTTTTAATTGACATTATTCTTGAAGAAGAGGCAGGGGAGGAAACGGAACATTGATCCATCTTGTAGGTTTCTTTCTTAAATGAAGTTCAAGGGAACAGCCCATAATCACACAGGACATCCAGGAACATTTGTAGACCAAAAATGCCAGCATAGCAGCTTTCACCCGTGCTCAAAGACAGCAACGCCCCTTGGAGTGGAACCAAACTTGGGGAAAACCAAACGCAAGAGATGTGCAAGCAAGATGACATCACCTTACCCTATGGAGTGTTCGAAGCGGTTGTGGGAGGCTCCTGGAAAAACAAAGTAAGTGCCACCCAGCTGCTTAATGTATCGGAGGCGCTGAAACTGCGGTGTGTCGATGATCCGGACCAGCAGCGGATGTATTTCAATGTGCCCATGAATCGGATCATTAAAAACCTGCAAAAGCCAAACAATGGCGTAATTAACATTTAAAATTTGACTTTCTGAAAAGAAACAGGCACCAAGGTAAAGGATATCTAGAATGGTCAGGTGTTTGGTGGGAGAGGGCGATTGGTTTTCTCCTGTAAAACAGCCACATCCTGCCTACCCCATATCAAGATGTATCTTGGAGAACTACTTAAGCATGACATCAAAAGCTGCATATTTCAGAGGGCGAGGGAATTAAAGTCAAAATCTCCAAAAATGTTATCTGCATCTGTGTAATCCCAAAACTCAACACTTGAGAAAACCACTGTTGTCATCGATCTGCTATCCCAGTTAAAGCAGGATACTGCAATACATGCCTGAGACATCCAATAAGGAGCGTGTGGTTTGACATCGTTCGCGTATTTTAAAATCAAGTGAAATTTTGCAGAGTGGAAATTATGGTTCTCACCTTTTTCAAAGAACAAAATGCCAAACCCAGGATAGCTGAAACATGAAAGAAGCACTCCCCGATCACACCTAAGCACTCATCTTAAGAGAGGTCTGAGGAACTACAGGGACTGACTAGAGAGGATGAACACACACATTTAATCCTTGCCTCACAGCAGCAGATCAAACCATGTCGTCACGCACAGCTCTGTAAAACACTGAGGCCAACAAGGTTCTCCTGTGTTCTTCCCGCTCTCGGCCATGGAGCTGACAGGGCTCAGCAGACGTGCAGCCCTGGCCAAGTTAAACAACGTTCACCACTGGGAGAAACTGCTGGGCACGGCAAACAGTGGCAGTGAGGAGGAGTCTGTTCACCCAGGGCTGGGGCTCAGATAACAAAAAACCCAAGGGGAGGCTGCACCCAGAGGGATGTGACAGGGGAGCTTCTGAACGCGCTTCAAACAGCTCATCTGCTCGTGCCATCTCTCACAACCGCCAGGTGCCCACATAAAGCCCTCAGCTGACGATTTGAACAACCCTTCTGGTTAACGTGGTTTTTCCAAGACCACCTGCTACCACGGAGAAGGGCTCGGAGCGTGCTGCTCTGCAAAGGCAGGGCACCGCCGCGGCACCAGCTGGCACCGCCGCGGCACAGGGAGGGCAGAGAGGCCGACTGCGCAGCCTGGTGCAATGGAGGGTGTCCCTGCCCATGGCAGGGGGTTGGAACTAGATGGTCTTTGAGGTCCCCTCCAACCCAAACCGTTCTGGGATTCCATGATTCTACCTTCATCACGTCCATGTGCTGCTGCTGCAGCCTGTTCAGGCACGCCAGCACTTTCAGTCTCTCAGCTGGGAGGCTGGAAAGGAAAAAAAGACATCAAGAGCAAAGTTTGCAATGCATTTCCCGTTACAAATTGAAGTATATATGGAATTACTTGTGCAAGTTCACATTACTCTGGTATTCGTTGACTCTTTTTACAGAAATACATATTTCTGCAGCTTTTTCAGAAAAATATCGAAAGCATGTATCCTTCTAAAGTCAAGTAGAGAAGGAAGAGAACAAATAGCTATAGAAGTTGTCTGTAAAGCAGAAGTGCTTCTCCCACTTATACAGAACTAAGAAATGGAAACACCAGGAAATACACAATTTTTTTCACCCATTTCTTTTAGGGAAAGTCACTTTTGGGGATAAGTCCCTTAAATTTATGGGGAAGACAACATGCAGTGCCTGAATAACTGACATTTTTTAAGGCTGAAAAATTCCTTAAGCTAAAATACCAAAGTCCCAATAAACGATTTTTATCAAAATGTCTTTCAGTTAGTTGACTCTGCATTAAAAGGAGTTTAGTTTTGCCAAATTAACTTGAATTCTACATAAATTAATTTCAACTCCAACAGCAGAACCACCAGAGTTTAAAAGATGCCTTAATTTTGTTGAGAACCAACTCTTCCATTTCATAGAGATACTTTGCTGTCATTTCCCATAAACCATGAAAGGTTTCTTTCACAGCACACACACAAGCTTTCAATCCACGTCCTTGGTTGCAGCCACAGCAGTCTAGGAGCACAGGCAGGACAAGTCTGGAGGGAGAGATAATACACTCCATTACACCCCCTTTTATTAACTCTCTCTGCAAGCCTTGTCCTTGAGCAAAACAGTTTGAGCCTCAACACGACAGCAAACACTTTGTCACGAGAAAGTGCGACTCGCTGCCTTTCACGCTTCTCAGCTGTTAACCACCCTGAGACCAGTTTTACACCAGTCTTTCCATTTAAGCTTTAACAGAAAGGAACACCATAAAATGTCAACCACTAGCAAAAAATCCTGCTCAACGCACTACATGTTTTCAGCCAAATCACTTAGTAAGCCACAATCCATAAAACATGAAATGCATATGATGGCCGAACTGCGGGCGAGCAGTTTTTGTCCTAAGCACTTGGTACCCCCGTCGCTGCCAGGGCGCTCCCGGGCTGCAGCCTCTGCTGCTCAGACTGTCACAAGGCGGTTTTTTTCGAAAAGCACCGGAGGTGCCGCTCAGCCCCGTGTGCTGCTTCACCCCCCACGCGGCTCAGTCTGTAGGAACAGCCACAAACCCCCAATGCTTACAAGGGAGCTCCTGAAAGAGCCCGCTATTTACAGGGCAAGGGAAAGCAGCTGACACTGAGGACGAGAGGAGGGTCACCTGCATCTGCCTGTTCTTCTTGCTTTCTAAGAAGAGAAGATGAACTTCGGCACGATGGAAGAGCCGAGGAACCCTTCTGTGGCCAGCAAACCAGAAGCTTGTACACACCTACCCTTACGCTCCCAGGAAACGCAACTTGCAACTGCTCTTCGAGGTCTGTCCTGAAAACCGCACCAAGAATATTGAGCTGCTGCTTATAAGAAACACGTAACCTTTCCAACCACAGGTATGGCTGACTCGGGCAGGACTAGTACTCAGGCTGGCAACCCAAGCATCTCCATCACCACCCTCAAAAACAGCTGAGGAACAGTAAAGTCAGAAGCAATCTGCTTCCAGCCATCTACATTCGTTTTAATTCTGTGGAGAAGTTCTCTCTCAAGACACTTACCTAACGTGCAGAACCACACCTGGACTAGAGTATCCTTGCTCCATCAGACTTGAAAAATTAACACCCAAACGTGACGTACAGAGGCGATCCCCACGTTCCCAGTTAAACAGTGCTAACGCGGCTCTGCACTGTGCGACACGGCTGCTGGAGTCCCCGGGACGGATCGGTGCTGCAGGTGAGAGAGTGGCAGAAGAAATAGGCTCGACTAGGGAGGTCCCCGCCTGACACACCACGTCAGTGGCCTGTGTGTCTTGTCGTTTCGCCCTGCCTCCAGGAACGCCAATCCCCGTTTTGGGTTTGGCCTCCAGATGACAAAGCGTGCTGTCAACACAGTCCCGGGGTGACTGATCACCTGGACGTCCCACCACAGAGCACTCTGCATCCTTCTTCAGACAGAAAACAACAGCAGGGGATTCTTCCCCAGGTGTCTACACGGTGAGACCGCCTCACCCGAGAGATTACACCGAAACCATGTGTTAGTACTGCAGCTTCCCAGGGCTCTGCAGGAATAGCTCCTCCAAGAGCCAAAGCAGCAACACCGCTGGCTGTCTTCGCAAGGGTGAGAACTGACACTGCTCCTTCCACTCCCCTCCACCACTCCCTGCTTTGCCCACACCCTCCCTCATGCCACAGGCCACAAGGATGAGAAAACCACCTTCCCGCACCCAGCAGGAGCTTAACGATTCCAGCGGGGTCAGCCAGACAGCCCTACCCATCACCCGTGTTTAACGTGCAGCACGCCACACACGGCGCCCACTTCCAGGAAACGAGAAGGCGTAGGAAACCCGCGGCAGCGTCTCCAGGCCCTGCCACCCGAGCTCTCCCCGCTGAGTGGGCACGAACTGCAGGGAACTAAATACATGCTTTCATTACTGGCCTGTCACAGAGAAATGACAAAAATTACTCCAGGACACATGGGTAGTGGAAAGAGATAAAAAAGGGATCGCTCTTTACGGCAAAGTCGAGGTGTTGCTGCCAGAGCCCGACGATGCGCAGAGCAGAGTGCAGACGTCCGGTGTGTCCGAGTGCCCGTATGGGCACCTGATGCTCAGCCAGCCAGCGAGGTACTAAAAGCAACCAGCCTCCTGGCAGGCTCCAAACAGGAACTACACATCGCCTGTTGCTTCAACCAGACAGTCGCCTTGCACTTCAGAAACAAATAAAGCCTTTCGCTGCCTCCCTCACGGCATCCCTGTCCGCACGCTTCAAACAGCTGCAGCTAAACCCTGGGGTCCTTCCTCCTCAGCACGGTGTTATATTCACTCTGACCAGTTTCCAGCCAAGGAGGCACCAAAGTGGTGCCCCAAAGCACTCAGAACTCCCCGCAGGCAAGCGCAGCTCTGCACTCGTACGCCTGCCACAACCACACTCCAAACTGCCTGAGGTCCACCAACCACAACACCAGCAAAGAGCTTGACGGAACAGATGGGTTTTCAGAGAAACTTGGAGGAAACAGCGTCAACAAGGCTAGCAAAGGAGTAAAGAAAAAGCTTTCAAAGATTAAAAAGCACCAGGAAGTATGTGGTGAGCAAGCAGGCTGGCATCCCAGGAGAGGTGAGCAAACCCGACTCCAATGGGGCAGAGAAGGGGCAGCAGGGGGGCCCTTCAGACACGCAGCACGACAGAACGCGTTTATACTCTCTTCTGTTTCAGAAGAGCAAGAAGGTATATTCACCACCAGAAAAACTGCAAGTTTTTGAGGACCAGTCATTTCCCTCGCTGCTGGGAACAACCCTTTACACGCTTTAAGACAGCATTCAGTTTTCCCGTACTCGCAGCAGGTGACTACTCATGGCAGCTCACGGTGGCCACTGAACTCCACCACGCAATCAAACCTCTTTTTCCACACCAGTCCACCCTATTGCAGCAGGCGCAACAAAGAGCAAAAGCCCCAGTAACTGTTGCAAGATAAAAAAAGGTCAATGCGTGGGATTTGTCCCAGGGAGATGGGTGAAACCCGGCCTCCACCAAGCAGCACCTACTTGCTATTTTAGAAACCGTTACTCCTGTTGTTAATAGAACCAGAGCAGCATCAGCTTCAGGCTAAGAAAGGTCCCACCAAAACCCCCGGTGTTTACACCAGTGTTCTCAGTAACGCTTAAAAGGCTATTGTACGACCGGCGTTCTTTCATTAAAGCTTTTAAAATGGATTCTTCTGCTTCTTGTGGCTACCGGCCAC